ATTGAATTGAGTCTTCTTTACTCTTTTTGTTGGATTCGCTTACTTCAAATTGTGGAGAAAATATAGTTTTTGTTTTCTTGGTGATTAACATTGTCTTTGTATTACCGCAGATGTTTTAGTGTTTCTACTTGTACTTATAAGATCTACTTTTGTTTGATGGGTTTTTCTACTTGTACTTAAAAGACTTACTTTCGTTTGATGGGTTTAAAAATGAACTGATCTTGTTTATTAACAAATTCCATTGGAATATAAATTTATTGCGGAATTTCATACATGATTCATGAAGAAAAATATAGAAAATAGGGCAAAGAAAATGATGCAAAAACCAAACTGCAAATAATTTGTCTATGATTTCACCCATTCAATGAAACTCTTAAGATTTTGTTCAGAGGAACCACCTTCTTTGATATTGTCAATGGTCTTCTCCTTCAATTCAAGAGCCCTCGCTTTAAAATTCTCATCACTTAGTAGTTTCTCTACTTTGCTCTTAATCTCTTCGCCTCTGATAATCTCACTTTCATCTTTCTCAAATTTCAATCCCACCTTCCAAATATCACAAATGTAGCTCTCGTTCAAGAATTGGTCCCCAAAGTAAGGCCAGCACAAGAAAGGGACTCCGTTGCTTAAGCCTTCCATGGTGGAATTCCAACCGCAGTGGCTTATGAAGCAGGCAATGGAAGGATGACTTAGAACTACTCGTTGTGGTGCCCAACCCACCATCCTCCCACGATCAGCCACTCTGTTATGAAACCCTTCTGGGTACGCGTCGTCTTTTCCCTCTATGATATCTGGTCTCACAACCCAGAGAAATGGTTTGTTGGAGAGTTCAAGACCCAACGCCAATTCTTGGAATTGGGTAGGATTGAGAATCGTGAAGCTGCCAAATGCCACATATATAACTGAGCGTGGTGGTTGTAGGTTAAGCCATTTCAAACAAGAACCATCCTCTGCCCAAAAATTAACCTCCAAATTTCCTAATATGTCAAGTTCAGAAAGTGGGCCTATGGGGAGGGCCTTAGGAACCAAGGCAAATGCTCCAGCCTCCAAGTTATATGTTGAGTTGCAGAGCAACCACTCAGCTTTCTCGATGGCTATGTTGTTCTTCTGCATGCAATCAAGTATAATCTTTTGGGTGGTGAAGTCCTCAATAGTTGCCCACATAAAATTAGAAGGGTTCATTGTGAGTGTATCTGGTGACAACCTAATCATCTCGTGTTTAAGTGGAGTACCTGCTAATAAGATTTCATAAGTAATTTGAGGAATACTTGAGAATTATATACAATATTTCATTCTTACCATTTTCATCAATAACACCATCATCAATCAGCTTGGGGATGTTTAAAATCAAGGCTAGAAGTAGGGTTGCTGCAGGCCATAACGCAGCTCTCTTTATTCCCAACTCTGCAGCAACTTCAACTCCTAATCCCATTGTCATATCAGCTAGAACACATGTAATCTCATCATCATCTGTTTGATTAATCTTCTCTATTAGCTGCTTGAGCTCACCGGGCATGAACTTCCAGCATGCTTCCGTAAACTTCCCTAAATGATTCCTGTTTCCCTCAGCACCTATCCCATCTGGGATTGAAACTAGACGAACTTGCCCTTCAGGTTCTTTGCCTAATGCATTTGTGATTCTTTTGTGGTTGAATTCTGTGTTCACAAATGTGATTTTGATGCCATGTTTGATCAAGATTTGTGAGAGCTCCATGAGAGGAATTGCATGTCCTTGGGCTGGAAAAGGAACAACCAAAATATGTGGATTTCCCATCTATTGACATGAAGCTTGTTTTCTAGACGCAAGCTCATGCCTCATTTTATATATGGTTGAATTTTAGTCTTTTTTTATGTTTTCTTGTTGATGCCTTCAAACTTTTCCCAAATTAATGCAAAAGCCCCCAAACTAAAAAAAGCGCATCTAAACCCTAAAACCACGAAATTGATGCAAATTATCTCTACTAATAATGTTTGCATTATAACCTCTAATTGGTTACCGTCAGGTTGAGAGTTTGAATCCTAGTTTCCCTCTAAAATATGAAAAAATAACAATTATTTTGGGATATATTCTAAATAAAAAATAAGTTATTATTTTGAGATGAAAGTAAAATTTATTTCTAATTAACCAGAATTTAAATAATTGTGCTTATTATGATAAGGATTGTAATTAACTACTCTTTTCATCTAAAAAAAACTGTTCATCTTTAAATGACTATAACTTTGAATTTATCTTAAATTAATTTTTTTTTCATTTTGTAATGTAAACAAATATTTTTTTTTCTACTTTATCTTTAGCATTATATTCACTTTAATTAATCATCTAATCATAACAAATTTCTCTTTATCTTTTACTTTTAAAAAGATATTATAGATGAATATAAATATTGTCTATACATTTTTAATATAAAAATATAAAAAATAATTATTTTGACACATAGGGAATAATAAAATAAAAATAAAATACATCAAATAACATTTTAAGATTGAAAAATAGATAACTAATCTTCAACATTCCAAATTTAAAAAATAAAACAATTAAGATTGAATGGAATTGACATTTAAAATGTAAACAAATTTTACTTTTTACTTTTCTCATTTAAAATATTACAATAAAAAAATGTTTTGTAACTAAAATATCTCTTTCTTTTCCATTAAAAAAAAAAAAAAATCTCTTTCTTTTGTCTTTTTCGAACCAGAGGAATATTTTCGAAAGAAAAATAAACAAACACAAAAAACAACACTCCCGTGTAAGATTCTTGTTTGCCTGCTCTAGGGATATGAAAATTGATTTGAGAGCTACTGAGCCTTTAGCTTGCACCATCAATTATTGTACTCATATACAATGTCTGGTTCTACTTAAATATCTAATGTACCAACAGCCTGACTCCCGACTGCTGAGTAAAGAACAAAAACTTGAATTGGGAGCTCTTGAGCTTTCGAGTATGTATAATGGGATTTGTTTTTCACTATTTTTTAAAGAGAAAATAGAGACAGAGATTTACTCCATTAAAGCATTTCATATAACCCAATTTTATTTTCTGCACTGAAACAGTTCGGTCAAATATATTTAGGCACCAAAAATCTAAAACGATGTCGTTTTAGTTCTTTAAGCTGCAACATTTGACTGGGCCTGACAGCGTATGCTTGGCCCTTTCGGCCCCTTTTGGATGCAACATTTGACTTCGTTGGGCCCCTGGCAGCCTGGCAGGCATGTGAGCGGATGCTTGTCTGTCACTTTGTCACAGTTGTTGGATTTTTGAATCCAATGGCTGAGATCTTTTTTTTTTTTTTTAGTTTTCTTCTAAATTAAAATTTTAATTTAAATATATAAAATGTAGATAAAACATAATAACAATTATGTAATTTTCGAGAAAATTTTATTTAAGAAAATGCATTAAAAGAGAGGAATTGTTATATTAAGTATTGCATTTAAGGATTAAAATATATAAAAAAAATAAAAATTTATTACATATAAATGTTATACATCATATTTATAGAAAATCTTAACTATTAATTTTTTTTATTTTTAATAATTGAGATTTATTTATATTTATTAAAAATAATTATCTTTTTCATTCAAAAAAATTGTAATAAATTTTAATCATTGAAAATAGAGAAATAAATAGTTAAAATTTGATATAAAAATAATATATAAAGAGGTTAGTGCATTTTAGTTGCGATTTCAAAAAAATTAGAGTTTCAACTTATATTTAAAAATAAAAATCTCAATTTCAAATTTAAAAATTAATTATATTAAATTTTGATGTCTAAATTTGAAAACTAATTATATATTTTGATATATTCAATTTTGAAATCTAAATATCAATATTTCACATAATAGATTTTAAAATTTTGAATTGAATTTTAATTAAATAAAATAATATAATTTAAGGTTAAGATTTTAATTTATTTTAAAAGTCAAGATAGATATGCATTTTTTTATATATAAATAAATTATTATTTAAATAAAAGTATAAATTTATATAAAATAATATTAATTATAATTACGAGCCATGAAATAAAATTTTTTCATTATTTTTCATAAACCATACATTCAAAATACTAAGATCATAAACTTTCATAGACCCTAACTAAGATCAAAACAAGGAAAGAGAGAAATTTTCATACTGTTTACCACAAAAAATAGCTATGTAGAGAAAAAAATTGCCTTAACATTCAGAAATATTAATTAAAAATGTAAATAAAAGAAAAAAGAATAAAAGAACTAAATAGAGAATAGAAAGAGAAGGATAAGGAAAGCTATAGTTATGATAGAAGGAGAAGAGCTGACGTCTCTTTTCTTCTTATTTAATAATTTAAGTTATATATAAAATATTTATTTTTAAATAACCACAATTAAAATAATTGAACTTATTATAATAAGGATTCTAATTATATAGTAAAATATGAATAAACATATCAAATAACATTTTAAAATAAAAAAATAGATAATTAATTTAACTGTTTTAAATTAAAAGTATGATAATTAAAATTTCATAAAGATAGTATTTTAGTATTATTTAAATATTACTAAAAAAATGATGTTTTGAAACTAAAATATCTCCCTTTTTTTCCTTCAAACTAGAGGAATATTTTGGGAAGAAAAAAAAAACAAAAGAAAAAATATCACAAAAAATGACACTCCCTCGCTATATTGTCGTTGATTGACTCCTAAGAACAAACTTGAGCTGAGCCTTAGGCTTGAATTATTGTACTACAACATCTGGTTCTACTAAAATATCTCCTTCGTTTTATCACCAACTGGACAATATTATTATGTTGTTTTCTTAAGGCAAGCATATATGTACGTTCTTTAATTGGTAAAATATAATAATTTCATTAAAAATAAAACATGGTTTTATTCAAATTTAAAGTTGCCATGATTCCATATTAAATTTCGTGTTCGACTTGGCTTAAAAAAAAAAAGAAAAGCACTTGGCCTTCGGGCCAACTGATACCCTACCAGCTTGAAGTGCATTTTCCTTCTTTTATGGACAGGTTTCGAGCATGTTCCTTGACAACTTATTCAAAAAAATAAAAAACCAACCTTTCACTGACCATGATGAACTTTGGGCTCCACCCAAATCAACGGTCTAATGCTCAATGATGGATTAGGCCTAAAAAAGGCTCAATGATGATAAATGGCATCAAGCCCAAAAGCCTCGTCATTTATGACCTACAACCAGTCCAACCCATCAAGGACAAAATGGGAACTTAACCATCATCTCTGTGCGTCGATTAACCCGAACTTGAAAAAGGACGCGATCTTGTCCATGGTGGAGTGTCAGGCGCCAGGACCAAACTACCGACATTCCGTCAACTTTGTCTATGAATGAATTCACCCAATCGATGAAACTTTTGAGAATCCTGTCCGAGGAATCACTTTCCTTGACCCTATTCCTTTCTCCAACCCGCTCTTGATCTTTGCTCGTCGGATGATCCCGCTTTTATCTTTTTCCAAGTTCAATCCCACCTTCCAAATCTCACAAAAATAGCTTTCGTTCAGGAATTGGTTACAGAAGTAGCGACAGCAGAAGAAGGGGCCTCCGTTGCATACCCCTTTCCATGGTAGAATTCCAGCCGCAGTGGCTAAGGAAGCAAGCGACAAAAGGATGACCAAGCGCTCCTCCCACGATCAGCCACTCTATTCTGAAACCCTTCTGGGTATGCCTCGTCTTTTCACTCCGCAATACCTGCTCGTACTACCCATAAAAACGGTCTATTGGATGGTTCAAACCCCAATGCCTCGTCTTGCTCTGGATAAGGTATGACTCTAAGATGTGGATTGCCCATTCTGCTGATATTAACTCTGGATTCTGGACTCAAGCTTGACGGTGTTTCTTTTTATAGTTGAGATGAGTCTTCTTCATTCTTTTTGTTGTATTCTGTTATTTCTGATTCTTGAGAAAATATAGTTCTTGTTTTCTTGGTGATCAACATTGTCTTTGTATTATCGCAGATGTTTTAGCGATTCTCCTTGTACTTACAAGACTTACTACCGTTTAATGGGTTAAAAAAAGAAATGGTCTTGTTTATTACCAAATTTTATAGGAATATAATTTTATTTAGAGTGCAACTTAGATGGTTATTATGATTTGGGTTGTGTTTGGGATTGTTGTAAAGAATTGTGATTATAATTATAATTGTGATTAGTTGTGGTTGTATTGTGTTATAGTT